GCTTGCCACATACTGTGGAGACTAAAAGCTTAGACTGAAGATTGACTAGGTAGGGAGTTGAAGAAATGTGGTTAAAAAGTGAAAATAGGATTTACACACATGCTTTTTAATTTGGTGTTATAGTAAATACAAACGGAATACAGAGTTAAACTGAGTTAAAACTTTATTAAGGCAAACTTTATTAAGATTTTAAGTAGTTTGTGTTATGTGGGAAAGAAGTTGTCCTTGGTAAGGTCAGTGGCTTTGAAAAGGTTTTCTGAGACTGGGGACCTAGCTCAGTTGGTATAGTGATTGCCTAGCATACACCAGGCCTTGGGTTCAATCTCCAGCACTGTAGGAGGAGGATTAGAAATTCGGGGTCATCCAAGGCTAAAAAGATAGTTGGAGACCATCCTGAGCTAGAGACCTTGTCACAAAATAAATAAAATTTCAAAAAATTAAGTCTTTTCTGAAGGCAATAGTAGAGTAATATATACATAATAGAGTCACTGGAAAATAAGAGTTATGATATTGGGGAAAGGTAAAAGATAAATTTCTAAGTAAATGGTCTACTTATGAGGGACTTGAGGAATAGCAAGTAGATAAAATCCTCCACACAACTTTAAGTTAACTTAATATAGTGGTGATGTAGTTTAGCTCTTTTCTACTTAGACCTGGGTACTAATTTGCATACCAGATACTAAAGCATCATTGTACCAGAACTGAAAATGAGCTTGAGGGACCATTAGTGTATTTCTCAGCAATTTAGTAGTTGAAATTAAGACATTACATTTTGCAAACTGGTAATTATTACTACATATCTAAACTCGAGTTTCTGCGTGCAAGTATAAGAGATTTGAAATTAGCATATATAAATCATATAAGATGATGTTTGTTTCACATTTTCAGGAAAAATAATTTTGAATTCAAGCTAACACATTTTATTTTTTTACTTTTATTTACTTCTTTTAACCCAGAGATTTTGTGATGGGCATCTTGAGAAATTTATGGTTCTTCTTCCTTATTTATTTGGAAGCACTCTTTAGAGCATGATTTCAGAGTAATGATCTGAAAAGGTTGAGTGGAAAGAGACCCAATTAATGGGGGAAATCTGAAGTTCATTTTATTGTAATCCTTTAAAACTTTGCATTGGCCGAATTTAGTGGTGCACTTCTTTAATCCCAACACTCAGGAGGCAGAGCAGGTAGATTCCTGGGAGTCTGAGACCAGCTTGGTCTACATAGTGAGTTCCAGGCCAGCTAGGGCTACATAGTGAGGCCCTGACTCAGAGAAACCAAGAAATGAAATAAAGCATTGGCCTAATGCTTCATGTGTCTTGAGTAAAATAAGGGAAGCGTGGAATCAGTGGCAAGTGGTACGGGGAGGCATAGGGACCGAACTATCAGTGAAGGAAGCAGTTATCTACTACATTAACATCTGAATTCAATTATAATATGACAGTAAAATGAACATAAAACAAGAAACAAGTAAAAACAGATAAAGAGGGACTGGAGAAATGGCTCAGTGGTTAAGAACACTGGTAGTTCTTGCAGAAGACCCGGGTTTGAATCCCAGCACCCACATGGCAGCTAACAACTGTCTATAACTCCAGTTCCACAGGATCCTGACAGCCTCTTCTGTTCTCCTCGGGCATTGCATGACACGGGTGCCCTCACCTACATGCAGGCAATACACTCATACACGTAAAATTAAAATAAAAAAAAAAAAACAGATAAAGAAAAAACACAATGGCATATACCTAGACGAGAGAAATTTATTTAAGTACGATGAGTGATTTATCTGCTGAGCTTGGGCTCTAGTGAGTTTCTATTTCTTAACCTGGGGCTGGGGTGAAAGCATGGTTAGTTACCTATACTTACCCTTACTACCCCTAACTTCCCCAAGAGATTTTCCAGTGCAAATTCACCTGTTTAAACATTACTTTACCAGCAGATCAGTTGACACTCTTTCAAAGTAGCAGTACTTGGGACTTGGGGTATTTGCTGCATGGGTGTTTTGCATTTGTTCATTTTAACATTTTCATGTATATTTATGTCACTTCTGAGATTTAGACTAGATCTTACGTTTCTAAAACAGCTCTTAGAATAGTAGATTCTCAGAGGTGTTAGTAACAATGAGACCTCTTTGTGAAGCCTAGTTTGTGGCTTTATTTTGTTGTTTCATTTCCCAGTGTGAAATTGAGTCTGTAGGGACCTCCAGTGAGAAAGTAGTCCTAGAGTGGGCATTGTTCTGTTTATTATACCTCGATGGGAAAGGAAAGCCTAAATTTGGCAAACAATACCTTTGACCAATAGATTGGCTTCTACTTCATTACATTTTTTAAAAATTAATTATTTTGTGTCTGTTTGTGTATTCATATGGGCACTCATGTTATGGCATACATAGGGAAGTCAGAGGACAGCTTGTGGGAGTCAGTTGTCCCCTTACCATGTGGGTTCGAAGCATTGAACTCAGGTCAGGCTTGGCACCATGTGGCTTTTCAGCCTGAGCCTGGCCCCCTAGCTTCTACTGAAGATAAAACAGGTGAACAAATTATTATTTTAAGTGGAAGCTCATTCATTTTTTTCTCTCTTTGTAACATATCAAAGATAGATTTTGAGAACTTGAAATGCTTCTAAAATGTCTTATAATAGATTGCTTTGCTTTGCTTATTACAGAATACCTATGCTTGGCTGCTCTGTTTTCACAAGTACCTGGCATTTGTGTTCTTTTTAGAAAAGTTAAATATTTTTGTACATGGGACTCTTAGAATAGAGTCCAACATAATAAATCTTACCTAAGTGCTAATTAAAAATATTTATTTTTATTTTGAATTAAGTGCATATGTGTGTGTTTGTGTGGGGCTATATGCAGGTGAGTGCAGGTGCCAGCAAAAGCAAGAGGTGTTGGATTCCCTAGAAGCTGGAGTTACAGGTGGTTGTGAGCCACCTGACATGGTTGCTGGGAATTTCTCGGGTCCTATGGAAGAGCAGTGTGTGCTTTTAACTGCTGAGTCATTTCTCTAGCACCAGATTTTTATTGATTAAATAGAATGAATATTTTTCTTTATTCCTGGTGAAAGGTGTTGTAATAGATTGCATTATTGTTTAAATTTTTCACTGACATTCCCTCTTACAGGATTAAACATCTGAAAACGTTGGCCAAGTGATGAGAAATAAGATGCTGTTGTCATGCCGAACTGAACACTTGGGACTCCGTGTAGACTAGATCTTTAGCAGTCAGAGCTCTTCCATATTTTGTCATGTTCATTTCCTCTCTTCTGTGAGGTGCTCATGTTCCAGGTAGGGTCTGCTCTTTTAGCCCAGCCCAGATCCTGCAGTGAAGACAAAAGTCAAACCAACTCTTGTAGGTTATCTAAAATATATATTGAGAAAGAAACCTTGATTACTTCATAATAATCTATACTGGCTCTATTGTGACCACAGACAGACAGACACACAAGCAGGCATTAGCACAGGATGATAATGTCAGTAAAGTCCTAGCCCTTTGGGAGTGAACTGAAACAGTTTTCTTTGCTATACTATACTCTGTCGGCGCTAACCTACATAAATGTTAATAAAAAAAATGTCTACAATAGCTATTCTATGTAATTATTGACAGTAGTCTGAGTTTAGGATATTCACCTTGAAGTCTTAATTTCTGGTGTGAAATTGTTTTATGAATAGATTGTACCTATACACTGCTTCTTTTTTATTAAAATTTGGGGGGGGGTCTTTTTGAGACAGGGTCTCCCTATAGCCTCAGCTGGCCTGGAACTTGCTGTGTAGACCAGGGTAGCCTTGAACTCACAAAGATCTGCCTGCCTCTGTCTCCTGAGTGCTGGGATTAAAGGTGTTCTGTCTCTCTATATATTAAAAAGCAAGAGGTAGAAATGAATTATTTGGGGAAGAATCCTTACTGGAACGTGAAGAGATATTTGGAATTAGAGTAACTAACTTCACTTGAAGCTTTTAATCATATATGGGGCTTAATGAAAAAGGGTGGAGCAGCGTGGTTCCTGAGAATATCTGCTGGGAGAGGTTTGTTTCAAGCTGGGGTGAATATAGAATTTAGCCACACAGGTTGTCTGTGCCAAATACAGGCAATTTCAAGTGGAAGAGCTTCTAAAATTTGTCATCTCTTGTATCGTTTTTGTGGCATTTA